GCTCGATGCAGCTGCTGTTGCATCTTCAGACCGGGCCGCCGCTAATGGGCCCCTGGCCACCATGAGGGCCGCTAATGCTGCACTGTTGCTTCTGCTGTCGGCTGCAGGCAGCAGGTAAAGTTCAGGGCTGAATAATTGATGGATCGTTGGAGGGTCACAGGGTGGCGGGAGGAAGAGGAGGAGGAGGAAGGCAGAGATGATGGCGGCGCCGGTCGGCCTGTGAGGCTTGTTAGCAGCTGGATCTGATTGGCTCTCTGCTACACACACATCCACATAATGAGACCCGGGTAATGAACCAGGGTTACATAATGGCCCCATTCCACTGCTCAACTACGGAGAATTTTTAATTTAGACTGGAGTCATAATGGTCGACTCAATCGGTGCAATAAGTAATTTTACAAAAGGAGCTTCGCTGTAATTAGAGCAGTAAGAGAGGAGCTGCAGAAAGAGCAGCAGCAGTCATCATCATCGGGTCTGATATGGAGTTTATTTCAGCTTCGTAAAGAGGAAAGGAGGTCAGATGGTTCTGCTGGAGGATCCAGCCGGAAATCAGCCGCTAATCAACCTGTGAACCAGGAAGTCCTCACGAAGCTTCCTGCTGCAAAAACATATTTATGTTAACTCTAATGTAGGTCAGAAAATACTCCATTCCTTCATGTTTCTCATTTGAGCAGACAGACTCCTTATAAACTGATGTGCTCATAATTCTACAACGTTTTTTAAATATTTATTTTTTGTATTTTTGCTGCTTTTTTTGGCTCAGTTTTATTCCCACCTGAACCATTTTCACAGAAATGCTCCACTGACGTCACTCAGACATAATTTAACACATTTTCTTATGAATCTAAGAAAAACATCAAACTTAACAGTTTGGCAGAAAACAGGATTTTTTTCTGGGCTAAAGTGGAGATGAATTAAAATGAAACTTAAAGGAAATATTAACATTAGAAGTGAGTCTGGATGGATTAGGATGTTTGCAGATGACATTGTAGCGTTCAGTGAGAGAAGAGCGCCGGTGAAGGAGTGAAGCAGTGTGACTGCAGCGGGTGCTGCAGCAGAGCGGGCTGTCGGCCTCATCCAGGTCAGCTCTGCTTGTTGAGGAAAGTTACACCAAACTTTTTACCTCAAATTCCCCAAAAACCTCTAATAAGACCAAAAATGAGTATCTGGGTTTGTCAGTAGTTAGTTTGTTCAGAGAGAAGCTGGAATGTGCAGAGAGACGGTTTCTTCTATGGCGTGGTGACCTCTGACCCCTGAAGGCTGACCGGGTCCCAGCCTGAACAGAACCACTTTATTAAAGCTGCAGTCTGTCTCCACTGCACTGATCCAAATCAAAACTTGAATTCTCTGCAGTTTCGTCTCGTCTAAAGACAAACTAGCTGCTAATTTTAGAGCAGAGCAGGAATGAAGCAGCTGTGACGGCTCCGATTTAAAGGGCCGGTTCAGAACCTGTTTGTGGGTCAGGGATCCGGAGTGTGTGCCGACCGGGAACAGCTCACTGTTCCTGCTGCTCCTCAGCACCAACCTGGCCTACATGTGAGCCGGGCCTGGCAGCCAGAGAAGAGGGCAGACACACCCAGCTGTGATTGAACCGTTATTCTTTTGTTTTTTGTCGAAGCGGTTTGTGAGTTTCATGGAGACGAGGCGGAGCTGAAACATGAATCAGTGGAGCTGCTAACGGATCAGAGCTGCTTCGTATTGATTCACGGCCCAGAAGCAGCGCCGGGCCCAACATTAACTCAGCTAAACTATGTTTGCATGTCAGCAGCTTTTACAGCCAAACTGTGAAGATAATTCTGTGATTTTCAGTAAAATCCTCAGATTTCCACATTTAGAGTGAAAACAGTTGAATTTCCTGCGTTTCGTCCCAGAAATCTGACCTGGAACTGGCTCCTCCACTGGCGTCAAAACCTTCATGAAGGATAATTTGTTGCAGGGCTGTTGCATTATAGCTCATGTCATGCAGCACTCCATCACTCTGTTTTTTGGTCAAACGCAGCCTGGAGGTGTGTTTTGGCTCATAGTGCTGCTGAAAAAATAATGAGGTGCCATAAAGCTCCAAACAGGCAAGCTGGTGTATGGCTGCGGGGCGTTGTGGATTCATGGTTCCAGATTTCCACTCGGCCTCTCCGCTCCTCTCCTCCCGTCTTCCCGGGTCGCTCAGCCTCTCAGCCGGTGTCACACACACTCCTCCAGTTGTTCACACCGACGTTCATCTGCTGCCAACAGCCCAGAGAATCGTCCAATCAGCCTCCTTACTGCTGATTACCTCACAAAGAAAAGCGCCAGGCAGGGCAGGGCTTTCATCCAGTCATTCATCTTTTATCATGATAAATTTTTCAATTTTCATTTTCATTGTCACAGTAAAATCCAATTAATGCTCTTTAAAAATCGCATATTGTTGGGATTTTTAGTTTTACTATTTTTTTCCACTGATCAATAAGAGCATCAAACATTTTTTAAATATAACTAAATGTCATTTACTGTGTGCAGTAAATCACACTTCTCTGTGTGACTGGTGTCCTGAATGAGGATTTTCTGAATGTTTTTCAAGAGCAGTTTTTGTGTTTATATCTGATTTTTATTCAGTCAGCATTAGTGACCTAAAAAACAAAAAATAGTTTTTATCATTATTGTTATCACAATAAAACCACAAAATATTGTGATAAAACTTTAAGTCCATATCGCCCGGCCTACCTGAAGGCTTTGGTCCACCCTCTTAACAACAATAATAATAATAATAATCTGAGCTTTAATCGGTTCTAAATTATTTTAATCTGACCTCAAAATGTGCAGAAACACCATCAGGTTGCAGGCTGCCGTCGGTTTTAAATAAACATGAAGCTAAAAGGATAAATCTGTATTTCCTCTGGGTTCAGGTGTCGGGACCTCCTGGTGATTTCTGTCTGAGCAAACAGGGAAACGATTTCTGCTGCTCACTGACCAGGAAACGGCTGAAAACCATTTCCAAAATATACATAAAATATTCACCAGTAGTGAACATGACACTAAATTCCTCCTGAGGACAGAAAAATGACTGAAAACCTCCGAGCTCCACCAGGCTCAGCAGGTTAAAGGTCATGAAATCTGTTTAAACCAACATGGCAGCTCAAATGAAGCTAGCAAACATCTGGAACATCGGAGGAGTGGAGATGTTTCAGCGCCATGTTGGGAGAAAACCAAACCAAACACGCCATCTGCCAAGCACGGTGATGGCGGAGTGGTGATGTGGGTTGTACAGCCTCAGGAACCAGACACATCGTTGAAGTTCAGTGTTTCACTGCAGCTTCACCTGAACAATCATCCCAACAGAACCTAAAGCTTCTGCAACGGTCCAGTCAAAGTCCAGGTGTCTGACAGATTAAAATTAGTAGAGAAATTATGTTATGATGTGATGACACCAGTGATGACACTGGGCTGAAAATGTTGGAATAACTTAATTTGATGTCGAATGATCCTTAAAAATAGAATCGTTTCTGTATTTAAAATCCCGTTTAGCTGTGTTAGCGTTGTGCTTTGGAACCAGCGCAGGGAGAAATGCGCCACATTTAACTCGAAGTTACATTTTCATCTGACATGAATTATGATTCCAGCTGAGAGAAGCAAACAAAGTTTAGTTGAAAACAAAACGCTCTCTTAGCTCTAAGTCCGTTTTTCTCAATAAAACGGAGACAGCAGCTTTCAGGAGGGAACATGAAGAATCACGTGACTCCTGCTTGTTCTCTAAGTAGTGAAATCAATGGTGTTACTATCAATAAATGTAATTTCTTATGTGATGATATAAAAATATATTTGTTGTGAAGTTTTTAAAATCTTGTAGTCATTTGATCTTTGCCAGCAAAAAAAGTTTCTTCCTGTCAATATTGACTGATTTATTTCTATTCCAGTAACCAAACAGAGATAATGAACATTAAATGCTGCATAAAAACAAAAAATAATGAATGAAACTGAGATGTTAGAAGAGATTAAACTAATTGAGAACATAAAAACAACTCAGTAAGAATAAAAACATCGATGGCCTCCAGCAGGAACAACAGGCCTCCTGCATTTTGATGGGAGGATTTCAGACATTTCATTAAAAGCTCAGGAAATGATGTGATAATCTATCACCTTTAAACAACCTGAAGTGAGTAATTCATCAGAGAAAGAGCCTCCCTCCCTCCTCCCTCCTCCCCCTCCCGCTCCTCTTCCTCACTCCCCCTCTCCTCTCACTCTGCCAGCCGGTGCTGCAGTGGATCAGTCGCAGCTCCACCGCCTGCCTGCCTGCCTGCTAACCCGTTTCATCTCCTGGAAAACGGCGGCGTTAAAAAAAAACCCGGGGGGGAAATGAGTGTCTCTCCGCCGCTTCGCGCTCCATCTGTTTTCTCCATCTGCGGCCGTCGCTCCGCGCTCCTCTGACCCGACCCGACGTCCTCTGCGCGGACTCCAAACCCGCGTCCGAACCGCGCTTCGCATCGCATCGAAGCATTTTTTCATTCTGCGTAGAAAAAGAAAAAGTCGTGAGGACAGAAAACGCGCTGCTCTATTTTCAACACAGATCGCGTTTTTTCGTTTCTTTTCTTTTTCTTTTTTTAAGCGGAGTCTGAGGATGCGCGGAGTCGGAACCGTCCAGAGATGAGAACCAGAACCTGGGTTTGTTTTCAGCTCGACTCGTTTGGAGGCGAACAGGATGAACCGGGTCTGACTTTGTCTGGGAAACATCACCATGTTCCCCCCAGCAGAGCCATAAGCTGATCAGGTCGTTCAGTCAAAGCGGCAGCCGCGCATCATTCCGCCAAACTCCGTCCTGCTCCGGACACGTGTTGACTCCCCCCAACCCCAGATCCGGCTCTGAAGCCTCCTAACCTGCGCCTGGCTCGGCTCGGTTCGGTTCGGCTCACCTTGAACCATGCTGCTGGCGTCCCCATGCCCTCCCCGTGTGAGCCGCGCGTCCCGCGGACATGCCGCGCTCCTCCGCTCCGCTCTCATCCTCCTTCTCCTCTGGCCTCTGCCGTCTGCAGGGAAGAAGAAGCTGTACATCGGAGCGCTGTTCCCCATGAGCGGCGGCTGGCCGGGCGGCCAGGCGTGCATGCCGTCCGCTCAGATGGCTCTGGACCTGGTGAACAACAGGAGCGACATCCTGCCGGACTACGAGCTGGAGCTCATCCACTACGACAGCATGGTGAGTGGATGTGCAGGAGAGCAGAGGAGGTGCGCTGCTCTTAAGTGCAGTGTGTTGTCACTGAGGGAGCAGCAGCCTCCTGTTGGCTCTCCGCTCTCCTCCTGTCATGTCCTGAGCTGACATGTGCCGTCACATCTGACCCGCTGCCTCCTTTTGCACGTTTTTGTCCAGTTTTGCAGGAGTTGTGTTTGTGAGGGAGCTGCTCCCTGCAGGGCTCCTACACGTTAGAAAAGTCTCACCTGATCCGGTCCGGTATAGGGGAAGCTTTCCAAAAATAAAACTATTCATTGAAGCAATTAATGACAAATTAATTTTTAGAAGGTTTTGTAATGGTTGGACAGATGGGAGCCAATAGTGAATCAATAATAGTTTTAAAAAACCTTCTACTCTGTTGGTTCAAGTTTTTAATCACTCAAACACCAAAATAAACCAGTTTGACATGTTAGCTTGTTTTTTAGCCCCACATTTTTCTCCTAAATAAAACGATCACTAATTTTTGACCTAAATATCTAAATATCTGATCTCAGAGTAAGAAAATAAAAGCGTGTTTATTTAAATCAACACATTTTGCAACCATTCAAAATTTGTTTTTGTCTTAAATTCATATTTACAAAATCTTATGACTATACGAATATCTTAACGCATTTTTACCCATTTCATCTGGATCTCAAATACAGAGTCACTCTATTAATATTTGACTTATTACACTTTTACAAAACGTGCGTCCAGAGGCGCCATCTTGGTGGTGTCTGTGGTGGAAGTGGGTTGAAGCCAACCCGGCTCCCTGCAGCCGAGTCGGTGAGAATTATGAAGCGTTTTGTTGAGTGTCTTGCCGTGCTGTGGAGCTCATCTGCACATGCTCACTCCTGCAGCTTCATGGAAAACGTCTAAACTTAAATCCATTTCTAGTTTTGGGGAATAGCTTAACATTTATATCAGTAAAAAATTAACGGTGGTGCAAATATTGAGAGAAAGTGACACTGAAGTCACAAATCCACTTATGAATGTTAAAATTAGCATCTGGAAAAGAATTGGATGTGAAGCTGGAGGAGCAGGAACCCTGGTGGCTCCTGAAAGGTCACAGTTCAGACGGTGAACCCTGCTGCCGCCCCCTGCTGGGCCGGATCCCTGTAATTGAGCAAACCCACCTCCCGCTTGTTGCTCATCAATCATTAATCATGTTGGTATTTTAAAAATGTCACCATTATCGGCCCCTATAAATGAAGTATGCGACCCCAAGTGGCGTTTCCCCCGAGGCGCTGATTCTCTCTGGGTTTGGACCTTGGTGCTGCTCTTCCTGAAAGTTTGAGGCGTTTTGTGAGCAGCAGAATGAGAGCAGCTGCATTAAAAAGCAGCCTAATGCCCAGCCTCCCCCTCCCCCCCGCTCTGCCCAGGCTTGTTACCCATCATGCTGCGGGACAGATGCCTGGAGAGCTGCAGGCCAAGGCAGCAAACGGTTAACGGCGCCGGCACTGGTTAGAAATCCGCTACGAGCTTTTTTCTGATTGGTGCACGCAGCTCTGCATTGGAATCCTGTTAAACAGCAGAGCAGGGAGGGAGAGGAGTGTGTGTTAGTGTGTGTGTGACAGGGAGAGCGGGAGGGTTGGCATGGCAACACTCTCGAAGCGAACGGCGTTAACAAACAAGGCTCCGGCTTTGTGACAATATGTGTGCAAATTCATACAGGAGATGCTGGGAGGACGCGGCATCCTGTTCCACCTTGTTCTTTCCAATCAAATGCTAAACAGATGAAATGTGGTGTGCGTGTGTGTGAGTGTGTGAGTGTGTGTGTCCTCTGATTAAATGTGCTGCTTCACATTGAGCTGCCATGAAAACAAAGACAAAGGTGGTGGAGATTTCCGGGGATTGGGGAACATGGCTGCTGCTCCGCCTGTGGCTGAAGGAATGAATCTGAACAGAGGAAAGAGCTGAAACATCAGAGAGATGCTGCTTCCAGTGAGAGCAGCTGATTCCCTGTTTAATGAACCCGTTAGGTTAATTAGCTCTCCACATATCTGTGTTTGTTGAATCCATGTTTACCTGGTTTCATGTTGAAGGGTTACAAACTTTTCTTCCTCCTTTTTGTCTGAGTGAAAGACGCATTAGAGTCTGGCTTGTTTTTAGCAAACAGGAGTGAAGGAAAACACACCCACACAGAGTATTTTGTGACCATTAAAGGCCGAGAGTGTGGAGCTTGTTCAACATCATCCAATATTCATGAAGCTCACGCTTAATCCCAGCCTGTCCTCTTAAATGGATGCAGATACCCTGTGGTAGCAGAGCGCCGCGTTTCTACGGTTATTCTGGTGACAGCGTCAGACTATTTACAGCCTTCTGTGATCCCAACACACACACACGCACACACACACGAGCTGCGTTCGCTCGCTCTCCACACAGAGCCGTTGCCATGGATATATCAAAGCAGAGACTGCAAACTTTGATCAATTATTAACAGTGATGATGAGTGAGACAGTGGAGATGCAGAGAGATGGAGGAACAAGGTGCTTCCTTCACGTCCGACTCTTCGTTTAGTCAGCATCCGTGACACTGATCGCCTTGGGGCCCCGGCCCCCCTGGTCCCGGCCCCTGAATCAGGACTCCTTCCTGTCTCCGTCTCGTCGTTTGATTGGATTGAGTTTAATTAGAGAAAGTTTCAGACTGTTGGGACGTAAACCAGAATCAACCATGAATTAAATGTCCAAGTTTGACATCAGTGTGGATTTCCATGCTCATATAAATACAATGGCTGCTGCTCATGTTTGGGAAAAATCTCCGTAGGAAGTTCTCACAGCCTTTAGCTTTCTTTGCAGTTCTGCTTGATTCTCATTTCCCTTCAGCTCTCCATGTGGGATTTCTCCCATTGAGCTTGAGTTGTGAACGATGATGATGTTTCTGTTCTGTTTTTAAATTATAATCTGCCCATATAGTATTGTACTTTAGCAAATTCAGCAGAGGAAGTGAACAAAGTCACGCCTCCAAATGAGCGACAGAGGAATGTTTAAGACATTTTATTGTTGGATGTTTCAGCTCTAATCCTCACAGGGTTCAGTCAGTCAGTCTGATTTCCCATTAATGTCCAGTAAACTTCATAGCTTATTTTAATGGTGAAACTGGTGCATTACAAATGTCACAGCCAAACTTTAACGATTGTTGAGGTTTGAATCGATGGGTCAGATTTTACCCAGAGTTCATTTCTCCAGGAAACGATCATCTCTCAACAGCTGAGGGTCCAGACCTTCTGGAACAAGAGGCTGATTTTGACCAGGCTGATTTTGACCAGGCTGATTTTGACCAGGCTGATTTTGACCAGGCTGATTTTGACCAGGCTGATTTTGACCAGGCTGATTTTCACCAGGCTGATTTTCACCAGGCACGTCTGAGACGATCCTGGCTGGGCTCTTAAATGAACCAGAGGAGTTTATTTAAACTGGTTGCTATGAGGCAGGATATTCACCTCAGCACTGAACAGAGATGAGGCTGGAGGTTTGGGGAGGTTTTCCAGAACCTGCGATCCTGGTCCTGCTGGAAAACCCTGCAGGATCATAGACTTATGGCTTTCTGATTCTAGAACGCTGTAGTAGGTTAAAACGGTGTGACGGTTCCACCCTGGATGGATGAAAAGACGCGGCTGCTCTGCTGTGGTCGGAACGGCTCCTCATTGGCTGCGTCAGGCTGCATAAACACGGACGGCATCAGGTGCTGCCGGCGGCCCGGCTGGGCTGGAAGTGGAACCGATGAAGACTCCTGGGAGCCGCGTGAGGACGGAGCGGCGAGCCGCTTCAGGCTCCGCGGCGCCGTTAATCATCAGGGAGGCGCCGTTACCTCAGGCCACGTTTATTAAAAATACTTCAGATGAATCCATATTTTAACATCCCGCTGAAGAAAAAAAAAGAAAAATTCAACATTTGATTCGAAAATATTAAGAAATAATTGATTATTAATTTTGGCCAAATCAATGCCGGGACAATTATCAGCAGCCCTGCAGTTCAGGTTCAGTTCCTCCATTCAGCTCAGTCCACAGGTTTCCTGTTGCAGTGAATACCAACCTACAGGGGGCGCTACAGAGCTTCTTAAGCTTTAATATGCTACAAACAAAATGTTGAAGATTAAAATTTCCAGGAGGATAAAGAGACAGAAAGCTAACAGAGGGAGTGAAGCTCTGACTGCAGCTGCGGTCCGAACCGCCGGATTCTCCAGTCGGCTTCGTTTTCATCACAGCTGCACAACATGTCAAACCGTCATCACTGCAACATCTCTGGAAAAGCAGGACGGCGCTTGGATGTCGTCTCAATGTCGACATGCAGATACTGATGTTTGCTGTGCATCTTTTTCTGCCACACTTTTTCCTTCCACTTAACTTTCCGCTAATATTCCAATAATATCCAGATACAAGCACTGGGCCGTCCTCTCTGTGGTTCTGCAGGTCATAATGTTTTAAAAAGATTTTGTTGGTCTGGTGTAATGTGTTTTATCACCTGCAGCTGGAAGTCGTTCAGGTTCTGATCAAATTCTGATGTTTTGAGGCTCATCTGGACCGGACTTGAACATTCCCGTCCTGATTATCCCAGATTCTGTGTCTGTCCGGTTTTCTGTCTGGTTGGAGGCGTTTGTCGGATCAGCAGGGCCCGGTGGGGGCTCATGTGCCAGGTGCGACCTTCACCTTTGACCTTGGGCCGTCTCCTCTCTGCGTCCCGTTGTTTAGTTGCTGTATTTGAGCGTTTGTTTTTGACGTGATGACTGAGGCGTTTTAAAGCCTTTTAAGGAGAAATGCGCTCGCTGCTTATTGGGTTTGCCACCCAGTAAAATGCTTCTTCTGACTAATGTGAGTCATTATGTTTTCCCTGCAAACATTCAGCTGTAATGACCCTTTTTTTGAAATCGGAGCTCTGCAGCCGAGCGTGTTGCTCCGGCTCCATGTAAATAGTCTGCAGTTAATGTGTTTTTTACGCAGGAAAATTGTCTTGACTAAACATGTAGAGGGCTAATGGCTGTTTGTCTTGGTTTGGATGTTTTAATAACCTCTACAGGACCAGAAGCTGCACTTCTTGATTAAATTCTCATTTCTACATGTTATAATCAGCGAGTCATTTGGAATGCTGATTAAAACAAGCTGCTATTAAAACCTGTAATCTGCTATGGTGGTGATGGATTGATGAAATAATTTGAAGATAATTGGCGCGGGCTCTGAAGTACTGCTCATCAGAGTGAAGTTAAGACTCTGAAACAGCAGAAAACTAACAAGCTCGTCCTCAGCGTGCAGCCGGCCCGCACAACACAAACAACCTCGGGGAATCGGAGTGTTTAGAAAGCTCTCCGAGTCGATCTGCATGCTCCTCGCTGAACACGATGCTTCCGAGGAACCGAACTGTGTGCCGGGCCGGGCTGCAGGCGCGCTTCCTGCTGCTTTCACTTAGAAAAGTCAGAAGAGGAGACGGGAAAATCAGTGGAATCAGCTGCAGCGCTGATTGACTGAGAGAAGCTCTCTGCTCCGACTTTACATAAACATCCTTATTAATATTAATGCTTTTATCCGAGTGATTAAAAACAGCTCAGCCCACGATTAAATATAGACTCAGAAGTTTCACAACTGAACTAATCAGTTAAGGGATTCAGATTGTGAGGATTGGTGAGAAGTGAAGCGGCTTTAAAAGTGTCTCTTCCTGCCATCTGCTGCTCATCAAGAGGAAACTTTCTCTGCTAATTGCTAAGCTAAAACAGAGATGCCTTAACTCCCACCCAGACGAATTTATAAACTCAGCTCTGACCTTCCAGCCCTGACTCTGAAACACGAACAGAACCGCTGCAGATGTGGAGACCTGCAGCAGAGAGCTGAGCTAAGTTTGCTCCAAATAGAGAAATGAACTTATTTTAAACATCAAACTAAACCAACCTGTGAATATTTAACCTGTCAAAATGGAGGAAAAGGAAACGACAGATCTGACGTTCAGACATCAGTTCAGTTTATTCATTCCAACTTACAACAAATGTCACTTTGAAAAAAAGGAAGTCTTTTTAATCCAGTCACACACTAAATGATTCTAGTTTATTAAAATTAAAAACGTTTCTTGTTCAGCAGATAATGGAGTCATCGGCCTGCAGCTTTCACTCCTCCTGCTGAGAACGTAACGTGACTTTACAGTAATGCCTCACACCCAGCATGCATGTGGTGACAGTGGAGAGGAAAAACTCCCGTTTAACAGGAAGAAACCTCCAGCAGAACCAGAACCTGCTCCATCAGATCAGTTTTTCCTGACTTGCCCTCCGTTCTCCTGAACATGTGCAGCGTCTTGAGTCCCAGCTGGTTTTATGTGCAGCTGCAGTCGGAGGGGAAGGCCAGCAGCTTTGTTTCAGCATATTTACTCTGAGATCAGATTATCAGGGTTCAGTCACAGCCTCCTCACAGAGGGATTACTTTCACTGTAAGGGAAAAATGAAAAGCTTTGTTGAACTCATCTGGAAAACTTCCAGCGAAAAGACGAGAAATTTCAATGAGAACGTTTTCAGACGGACCAACATGTTGGCCGCGCGCAGAGCAGCTGCTGCAGAAAGCCCCGCTGATCCCAGGCAATGGTTGGAACATGAAGTGGTTTTATTAATGCTGCAGATCAGAACATCTGTGTGCTGGAGCTCCAACAAGTTTGAATCTTCCAGATAAAATCGTTTGTCCGATTAGGAGGAAACCTCTTCCTCCAACATCACTTCCTTATGGGGTCTGTTTCTGGACCCTCTGGGATCCATCTTTAAAAACATGGCGTCTCATTTCATCGTTATGCAGATGACTCTCACATTTACCTTAAACTGAAACGTAAACCTGCGACTCCTCTGAGGGAGACTGGAGGATGTTGAGACGAGGATGGATTTATCTTTTCTTAATCTGAATGAACAGAAAACGGTTCTATGATCCCAGATCTGGTTCTGCTGTCATCACCTTCTGTCAACATTTTCTCTAAAGTTTCTCTTTTCCTGCTTCATTTTCTTAAATGCTGCCATGTCTTTGTTTACAATATAATAAATGTAATTTTTATAGCATATTTCAAAGACACAAAAATACAAAGTCATCAACAATTAAAACATTACATTTTACCAAGTGCCATCATTAGGCATCAAAATATTGATTAATGTTTCATTTATTATGTTTCAAAGGCAGCTCTGAACAGATTAGTCTGGATTTAAGGAACTCTGTGTTTCAGCTGTTTTGCAGTTTTCTGGAAATTTGTTCCAGATTTTTTGGAGCGTTTATGTTTCGTTTGATTCATTTAGATGAGCAGGACTTGAACTGCTTTAAATGGGCTATATTATTAAATTTAGCTTATTTAAAACAAAACTTTTTTAATGCAAGACATCCAACATTTTGGTCTGGAGGTGAGAACAGATTTATATCTGATGATTGAAACAAGATGATGTGATTTGCTCTTCAGTGAAACGTGCGCTGCCTTCTTAAAGCAGAGAAATGATTTTTCATGACTTTCTGTTTCTGCTGAGTTTTTGCTGAGAGCCTCATTGAGGCGTTCTGAAGCGGCTCCTTCAGGCCCATGTGTGCTGATGAACTCCAGCTCTTCCATGCGTAATCACAGCTCACCATTGACAGACATGAATTCAGGCTGATCACTGCAGCCACTTGTGCTCATCGCCAGATCGCGCAGATGTTTCGGCTTCCCCTCTGGGAGCCGTCGGGTCCTCCATGCCTGCGTTCGCTCGATCATCCAAACGCTCATCAGATTCACAGTCACGACTCCACTTCCAATCAGCTCCTGCTTTCTCTCCACAAATGAGGATTTTCTGGACAATGAGCAGCTGCAGCGATCCGTTGTCAGGTGAATGTTCTCTGGTCCGGAAGCGATGCGGCTCAAACTCAGCACAGCCACCAAAAGTATTCACAGAACTGAATTGTGGTTGAAATGATGAAGAATATTCATCCTGGACAGTTCCAGTATGAATCCTGACCCAGTCTGATTAAAAGCTAACGGGAACATCTGGATCCAGCGGACGGGTTTCTAACTTATTGTGATAATTCTTCAGTTTTATTGAATTTTGTTTAAATGGTAAAGCTGAAGAGAGATGGGCTTTAAACTGGGAGCTGGTTCTCAGTAATGGAGCTCAGAATGATCTAACAGCTTGTCGGCTTCTTGACTGTCTGCGATGAGACGCAGCCTGAGAGTTAATGAACGACCAGCCGCTGAATACTGATCCCACACACTCTGCTCAGGCCCCCTGCTGCTAACCGCGGGCCCCTGGGGGCCCTGGGGACCTGCACCGGGCCATCCAGGGGCCTTTTCTGTTTTTTGGCCTCAGACGTCATGTGAGTGGACGTGCCGTCCCTCTGAAGTGGATTTTGCTCTCTGATCGCGCGGCGTGTCGGCCGTTTATCCGTGACTGTCAGCCGATCGCCGGTGATGGATCGCCGGGACGTTTCCTTTTCCTGGATGTGTCGTAATCGACTTCATGGAGGATGTAAATGTGTGTGATGGCCGGCGCCGCCCCATCGGGTCACCTCTGTCTGCCGGCTGCCTCTCTGTGTGCTGATCTGGAGTCAGACGGGGGATTTAATTAAAGATTGCTGCTGTCAGGATGAAAATGTGACGCTCGTTTTTCTTATTTTTACATTTTTATCACCTTGTTTGTGAGTCTTGTATCTGTTTCTTCTATTTCCAGAGTTTTTCTTCCAGTTGTGATGTCGCTGTTTTTAAGGCAGCTGCCAGCTCCCTTTATCTTCACCCTCTCATTCCTCATTCTGCCTTTTTGTTTCTCCTTTTTATCACTCTCCCCCATCTCTCCGTCCATCTATTTCTGGTCCTGATCTAAATGCATTTGTTTTGTCCTTGCAGTGTGACCCGGGCGAGGCCACCAAGCTGCTGTACGACCTGCTCTACACCGAGCCCATCAAGATCGTCCTGATGCCCGGCTGCAGCGGCGTCTCCACGCTGGTGGCCGAAGCCGCCCGCATGTGGAACCTCATCGTGGTGAGTGGTTCTGTTGTTCTGGGGTTCTGATGTGGTTCTGCAGCTCGTCTGGAAACAGACCCGCAGTCCAGGCAGGAGGGCTGGGTGATAAATCCATTATTACTTTTTCAGTTTTGGAAAACTGGGATTTTTCCCAGCACAGAGTTTAAGGTTCCAGAGTTCAGAGGGATGTGAGCTCAAAGAACCGCCATCTTGTTTGACAAACCCGTTTTACAGCTTCAGTTTACTTTGAATTCAGCTCAAAGAAAGAATATTAGAAATAAATTCCAGTTTTTAAAATTTTATTTGGTATGAATAAAGATTAGATTTTATTTTTACGCCATGTTTCCCAGCTCTAGTTGAAGTGCTGCGGTTTGGGTTGAGCTGAGTGGAAAATAAATTCATCTTCTTTTCCAACCATTTGATTTGATATTTATATGGAAAAATTATTGATTGTGTTGATCTGCGCATATTTTTGATCAAACATCTAATCCTCTGATCAGATTTAGATGTGAAACATCAAAGTTCTCATGATGCCACAGCATCACAGATCCTCCGCCGTGCTTCACAGCAGACATCAGGTTATCCAGTCCAGTCATCTGAGCTCCAGTTAAAATTCCCAGTAGATGTTAAGAAGCTGCTCATGTTTGCCTTCCTGATGTCGGTACAGAAACAGATTTCCTGGCATCTCTTTCAGCACTGAAAGGTTGTTGTAAAGTTTCTTCCTCCAGATGTTTTCCCAGGAACTTTAGACTTTATTCTGTCCGTTCGCTGCATGTTTCCACCGTTTGATCCTTTCATGTAAATAATGTTCAGGAACTGAATGTGTGGAAGAGCAGCTGCTGTTACGAGTTTAACCAGTAATAAAACTATAACCAGTCATCCTGTCACGGCAGATAAGTTTTATAGTTGAAATAAATTTACTGAGTTTTTACTGGAACAGATTTTAAAGACGTTCCACCAAATCCCAGATTACAGCGAAGTGGTAATTCTGAAACGCGACAAAAACCAGTTTAAACTCAGAGAAAAGTTATAAGCCTCCACCCTGCAGCAGGTCGGGGCAATAAAAGCCCCCACCCTGCAGCAGGTCGGGGCAATAAAAGCCCCCATTGCAGCAGGTCGGGGCAATAAAAGCCCCCATTGCAGCAGGTCGGGGTAATAAAAGCCTCCACCCTGCAGCAGGTCGGGGTAATAAAAGCCCCCACCCTGCAGCAGGTCGGGGTAATAAAAGCCCCACCCTGCAGCAGGTCGGGGTAATAAAGCAATCCTGGTTCCTGCAGCTGTTTGGATTTTTCTGCCCTCGTCGTCGGGGCAGAAAATGGAGGAAACATAAACTGGTAGTTAAAGTTTGACCCGTCTGTTTTAGACCAGGTGGTCACATCCTCATATACCCCATGTGACCTCTGACCCTTTTCGATACTGACATGTAATAAGTGATAACTTTATTTATAAAGCTGATCATGTTTTCAGGCCTGGCTGCTCTACACTGGGACCAAACAGGACCAGTAAAATGTCACCCTGGTAAAGTTATACCTGTGAATGCAGCTTATGCTTCAGGCTGCATGAATATTAATGTGAACCTTATCGTTTTGCACCGATTTTTATTTGTTCTTATTTATTTTATTCATAAAACAAATATTTTATGTTAATTTTTAGCTTGAATAGTTTTTTTGGGCCGTTTTTCCCTCTGGTTCTGGATGCTGTGCAGCTGGAGGGATTTTGACTTTTTAACTTTCAGACAGTTATAATGCATAAATGCTGCAGCAAAGTATTGCTTTTAGCATCATATCCCCTACTCCAACATCACACAGACAGAGACTTAAAGAGGAGCAGCAAAAGCAAAGGAGGTGGATTAGCAGAGCTGGTGATGTCATGCAGGTTTTCCCAGCACCGACTTCCAGTTGTTCATCATGTGACTCTTGTGATGTGAAAAAAGTTTCTATTGCAGTTTTGCTACATAAACCAATCTTGATGCCGCCGTAAACGAACACCTCACCCTGTAGAGCCAAAGCCTTTTATAGAAAAACAAGATTTTTTAAAAATTTTCAAATAAGTGAAATTATTTTTAAATGTCATATTGTGCAGCTCCTGGAGATCCTTCCCGCCTCAGGATATCGGCTCTGTGACGACATTCGCATACGAATTCATTTCCCTTCGGAGTAAATAAAGGATCTAAAGTTTCAACTTGAAGGATTTTTTGCTCATATTTCAGGATTCAACCATAAAATCCTTCACGACGTGAAACTCGGCTTTTCGTTTGTTTTCCACTAATTGCCCCTAAATCCACCAATCGATGCCCTGGCTGTTTCATTGATTAAAACATGTGTCTGGCTGCACCTTCCGTTATCGCAGCGGCTCTTCGGTCCGGGACAGAACTCATCGTTTAGCCTCCAACAACACAAGAGCTGCTTGTTTCCCCTCAGATCTGAAGATCTGCAGCGTCTCTGAGCTTCAGTTCGCTTCTTTCCGCGGCGCTCGGCTCGTTATCTTTGTCCCATAATTGACGTTTCATCCACAGATTAGTCAGTGAGAACAATCAGCTCAAGAGCTTGGCTTCTGCCCTCTTTCTTGTTTCTGGTCTTTCTCTGTTTCCTCATCATTAAAACTCTTTCCACTTTCTGACTTGCTCTCTTTCCTCCTTTTCTTTGTCGGTTTGTCGCTGCCTGGAGCTGGTCTTCTCTTTGTCAGCCTCTCTCTCATTTCTTCGCCCCTCTCCCTCCCTCCCCCGTCGCCTCTCTCTCTCTTTCACCCGTCTTCATTTCCGTCTCGGCTCCAGCGGCAGATTCTCCCCGCAGACGAAAGGAATCCGTCTGTCTTTACTAGAGGCCTCTGCTGGTTTAACCTCCCAGCCGCCACGCTGTTATCTCTGCCTGCGGCGGCCCGGCCCACGGCGACCCGGTCCGGATCACAGAGGCCGTTAACGCCATCCCGTTTCTCCCTGTTCCTGGAAGGAGCCGGATCCTCAGAGATCTGAGAAACTCTTGCATCTTCTCGTTTGTTGCAGTTTTTCTGCTGCTGCTTTATTTGTGCCTCCTTATTGAAATGTTGCCATCAGGAAGCTTAAACTCGGTTATTTCGGGTTTGATACAAATGAAATAGTTCTGCTCTTCCAGGTTCAGCCCTAAATAAGCCGCAGAGTGACTTTAAAGCGACTGGAACAGCTCCTGCAGTAGTTTGATCTTTTTTGTGATTTATGTGGGATGTGAACCCAGAGCCGGTTAGCAGCTTTAACACTCCAGATAATTCATCGTAATGACTTTAATATTCTCCTGAGTCATCCGCTGCTGAAACTCAGACCAATTTATGAAGACCTGACAGAAGCCCGGATGAGTTGTGCCGACATTTCTCTCCTCGGTCTTCATCTCCTCAGGTTGCTGGTTTAGGATCTGGAAGTTGTCTGACTGGAGGGCAAATGCTCAGAAGCTCTGGCATCTCTCTGAACTTTGACCTCTGGATCAGTTTGGCTTTATCTTGGATCGGAGGAGAAGACTGAGTTTTTAAAAATGTGTAGGTGTAAAACAAAAAGGGGGCTGCACGGTGGAGTGATGCTGGCGCTGTTGCCTAGCAACAGGAAGGTTGGGGTTTTGAATCTTGACCCAGGGTTTTATGTTAAACAGTTTCATTTTGCAAATAAACGTAAAAATATTGAACAGTTTACCTCAGAAACCATAGCAACGTCCATCCATCCATCCATCCATCCATCCATCCATCCATCCATCCATCCATCCATCCATCCATCCATCCATCCATCCATCCATCCATCCATCCATCCAACAAATACCTGATAAAATGTCATATTTTTAGTGTTAATTTTCATACTAATATGAATATTTTAGTTTTGTTGGTTCTGCTCACTTGCATTGATTTGTGTTGGATTCCTGATGATGCTCAGAATGAGCCGCAGTTAGAAAAGCAGCAGAGCAGCTATGATTGTGTTTCTGTTAGTAAGTAGATTAAATCCAATAAAACATGTGAAAGCTGACTGGTCTGCTGGCATTTTTAGGGCTTTATTCTGTAAAGATGTGCTTCTCTCTGACTGTAGATTATTAAAACATGAGGAACATAAAGCAGGCCTTCCTCTGTGCTTCGGAGGTTTTATAAATATGAATCTTCCATCAATTAAACGTTTAAGTGGGCAATAATCAGCCTTATTTGATTGTGGAGGTGTAATTTAAACAACATTACACGCTGGATGATTTTTGGCGTATGTTTTTCTCTGAAGCCGTTCTCTTCTGATGTTTCTCTTCTTCCTCCACATCGGTTGTTTCTGCCTTAATTTCATCCTTCCTTCGTATCGATTCTTCCATCTACCTGCCTCTGCCTGCGGGGATTTGTTTCTATGGGGAGCCCACATTGTACCGGACATGTGGCATCCGTCAGCGCGCCCCTCTGGCTGCCACTGGGTGGTTAAAACCCAGTGGGTGTGTGGGTAATGGGGCTGCAGCCGTTTCGCTCCCTAATGGCTCCCTGAACGGCAGGTTGTGCGTTTTAAAGAAAGACCTGTCAAGGATTTTATCTCCAGTCGTTGCTGTGGAAGTGTTTGATGGGAGGACCGTCGTCACATCTCTCCTCGCCGCTGATCCTTAAAACCTCTGCAGGGTCCGAACGGCGGCACCGGGCAGGAGGGAGAACCGGATCAGCTCTTCATTTCTCACTAATAAACCGAAGTGCCGTCTCAGATTCATGGTGGCAGCTGCATGAGAAATCCTGCAGGAAATGTTTGGTTTTTAATCACAGTTACAGACTTTGTTGACACATTTTATTAAATTGAGAGATGTTAAAAAGAGGAAGAAGAGACGATTAGGTGTTTCTGAGGCGACAATATAAACGTCCAGACTGAGATGTTTGTGGTTCATTTACTTTTAAATTTGATCACGGTACAACAGTTCTGCAAAAACTGATTCAATGGTTGAGAGTATATCACCAAATATCATAAGAAATAAGTACACCCTCTGACTGCAGGGCTGGAAGAGATGATGTGGTTTTTATAATATCACTTTCACCAAATCTACCATGTCATCAGTTATTAATGAAGAAATCACAACCGACAAGTTTGTGAACAAAAATAAATAAAAAAAGCTTTTTTTGAATTAGTGGTTCTAATAACCGGCGGATCTTAAACTCAACTTCATCCACTGAGAAAAAGTATTAAATGTTACTGCCTATTTTAACCATTCAACACCAAATATGTCCTTATTATGCAGAGTGGAAACCAACCTATCACCGCTGAACAGACTAAAATCTGTCTTTTGTGGGCTCAGCCAATCAACTCCAAGAATAATAAATGCTCTTTCTGGATTGGCCGCTGTGTTGATTAGCATCACGTCTAGATATTTCAGCTTCTTTTTAATATGTTAGATATGCTCTATGAAAAAGAATCTGTGAATTAGTAGACTTTCAGTGAATAATTTGGAGTTGAACAGAAAAGTAGGGAAGTGTGAGTAGACTGAGGTCTGAGTGAACTGGAGTGATGGCTGTGTGTGAAACTCACATCAGCTGTCACTGCTTCTGAACTTTCAGTTGAATAAAGTTTGACATCTGTGTTGAAGTTTGTCGTCAAGAATTAAAGCAATTAGACCTTTATAGTCAAGCTCTTATTTTGAAGTCAGTTTTAGACACCAGTTCCATTTCCTTTCTTCATATTCAGTTGATACAGAAACAAAGATGGCGGGGCCATACCAGAACAGGACAGAGAAATGATGATTCGAGTCCAGTGTGGGAGGGAAAACTCACTTTGTGGTTTTATTCTTGCATCCATTATGTAAATGTTTCTTCTTTTGAGAGTTTGAGCTTCTCAGACAGATGCACTTTGCTAATTTCTCTCTCCCCCCTCTCCCCCCTGTCCCCTCTGTCTTCTCTCCCCCTGTCCCCTCTGTCCCCAGCTGTCCTATGGCTCCAGCTCTCCAGCGCTGTCCAACCGCCAGCGCTTCCCCACCTTCTTCCGCACCCACCCGTCTGCCACCCTCCATAACCCCACCAGGGTGCGGCTCTTCAAGAAGTGGAACTGGTCACGCATCGCCACCATCCAGCAGACCACAGAAGTCTTCACCTCGGTCAGTGAACCCCCCCCCGACCCCTCGGTGATGTTTTCACCCCGGCTCTTTGTTTTATCACTGCAGTCTTTGGTTTCCTGATTGTCCTCCCGCCTCTCGGTTTTTGTTTATTAGCTCTTTTTGTGTTCTCTGGCTACAGTCAATCTCTGCTGCTGACTGATGAGGGATTTTTTTTGGTGTATTGGTTGTGAGAAATATTGATCAAGCAATACATCCTCCTCAGGACGGCGGTCGATGCCGCGGCACCTGGCCCGTTTCCTGTAATGGAAGTTAATGATTCTGCTCCGTCCTCTCTCATCTCGCCTTCTACTTTTCTCATTTCCAGCTGATGTCTAAAAAAATCCTCCCTGCTTCTCTTGTTTATCTCACACACACTCATCCCTCTGCTCTATATATCCAATATACACTCCAGGTGCTGTTATTAGTTTTGTTTTCCCTGTCGGACTTGCTTTTGTCTTTCAACCTGTCACCTCTCTGCGTGTCTCTCTGCCCCCCCACCCCGTCCTTCCTTTCATCTGCCAGACTCTGGATGATCTGGAGCAGAGGGTGAAGGAGGCAGGCATCGAGATCAGCGTTCGTCAGAGCTTCCTCACCGACCCGGCTGTCGCTGTCAAGAACCTCAAGGTGCTTTGATTAAAAATTCACCTCGGCTGCTGGCCGTCTCCTTCCTCCTCCGCCTCACAGCTGCACACGACGCCATTAGCATAGAGGCGACTTGATGGAGGAAATTAATGCGCTACGCTAATGATCAACTCCTGAACAGCAATATGTGCCATCCTGTCAAGCAGCGGGACTTTGGCACATTGTGCTGCCACATCAAGCTGCGATATTGTGAAGTCAAATTCATGCTGCTGATGTAACTAAGCAATACTTTCTGCTAATTTGATGCAGCGCCAGGATGCCAGGATCATTGTGGGGCTGTTTTATGAAACCGAGGCCAGGAAGGTGTTCTGTGAGGTCGGTGTGTTTCCTCCCTGTCCACGGCGTCTGGCTCGCCGTCTCCGGGACTGACAGGTCTCCCTTTCCCCCCGCTGCAGGTGTTCAAGGAGAAGCTGTACGGGAAGAAGCACGTCTGGTTTCTGATTGGCTGGTACGCCGACAACTGGTTCAAGATCAAAGACCCGGCCATCAACTGCACAGTGGAGAACATGACGGAGGCCGTGGAGGGACACGTTACCACGGAGATCGTCATGCTGAACCCCGAGACCGTCCGCGGCGTCTCCAACATGGTGAGGGCTCGACCCGCATCCGCTGCTTTCACAGCATGATCCGTAACCGTGGCAACGGATGGCAGGAAGTCGGATAAAATATGACGGCTCTAGAGAAGATGTTCTGGTGCAGCAGGTGCTGCTCATCGCTGTACCTGAAGCACATGACGTAAAAAATCCCAAACGAAATGGGAAACAAAACCAAGCCATGAAAATCTACAAATACTGAAAAATATAAAATAATCAGAAACAAACCATGTCCTGATGTCAGATTAATGTTCAGAAAAAACCAAGAGCTCCGTCTGAGACTCTACAGGCCTCAGCTGCCAGGTTAAAGGTCAAAGTTCATGAAAAACACTTAGCGAGTACGACTGGAAGGGTTGAAGGAGAAAATGACTGCAGGATGAAATGAGACCAAAGTAAAGACCTTCAGCCGAACTGAAACCATTTCATCAGCAGGAGCACGGCGTGGGAGGGATGATGCTTTGGGCTCCTTATACACTGACCATACTCTCCTCTGTATTACAGACACATACAGCATTTAAACTGCAAACTGAAAATCTCACAACTTTCTTTCTTTGGTCTTTTAGCAACCAGCACAGCTGCATGTAGGTGCAATTTGGAGGTGTTTGCACTTTTTGCCAGCTGGGAAGTCCATAAGGGATTCAAACACGAACGGTTCCTCCTGTCTGATGATCCTGCTGTTAAAGACGAAGAAAAAAGCAAATAAAGACCAAATGTTAACTTGCATACAAGCAGAAGATTAAACCTTTAAACCATATCAACAGTCAGAAAGCAGCTCTCTGGAACTCAAACCTGCTGCATAAAAATACAGTTGCATTAAAAAGCCACAGGTTGTATCTTGTCCTGCTGTCCCAATTTTTCTGAAAGAGGTTTATAAAAAGCAGAGAGGCTGTAGAAAATGGGAGTGAGAGTTTTTATGCCCTGGTTCAGGAGAGGAGGGAGCAGGAGTCTGATCTCAGGTCTGAGTCCGTCCTGTCGGAGCTCGGCTGCTCGGCTCTCTGCGGGTCTTCAGTGATTTATTTCCAGTTTGTCTCATTAGTTTTGATTCTCTATGCTGACAGGTTTTTGGTTGGGTTCTCCAGATGTGCTCTGAGCCGGTTGGTGTCCTCCAGCCCTGCTGGATGAACTTGAATCAGATGGTTTTGACTTTCTGTGTCGTCACGCTGCGTCTGAAGGCCACATGTTGTCTGAACTCATTTCATTTATCAGTTTTCCATCTTGAAATGAAGAATTGAAACACTTTTTATCAGTTAAATGGTGAAAATGTTTTTTTCTGGACTGGATAAGGATTCTGGCCTGATTCTGTGGTTGCCTCAGTGACCCGTCACGTCTTTTCTCCTGGATTTTCTCCTGCGACGCGGTTTGAGCCCCCGTCTGCTCATTCGTGGTTGTAAACTTTTCGGCTCTCATATGGAATCCCCTGAGATGCGAGTTATTTCTGGAACAGCCAGAGTGTTGGGAACAATAATGATAAGGCTTGGGTGAACTGTGTGTGACCTGAATCCGTTTAGTGTTGGGAATCCGCTGAGGATGCTCCTGCTGAGTTTCGCCCTCGTTCATTTAGAAAGATTCTGGAGTAGCAGCTCAGATTCCCGCCGTCCTCTAATCGTCTCGCGTTGTCTCTTCCTCTCCGGATCCGTCCAGTTGTTGCTCCGATGATCCGTCTCTCGCCGTCAGCGTTCCCTCCTCCCACCTTCCTCCTGTCTGCTCCTCTTCATCAGCAGCTGCTGTTTATATTCCAGCAGCACCTGCCACTACCTGCGGATTTAGCTGTCCGCGCGCCGCTCAGCAGTTGATAAGAATTACAGCCAGACCTCCTGCTTACAGTCAGATCCATTCAAATTCAATATCTGAGCTGAAATTGGCAGATTGGAGTGATGCTGCGGGCCAAGCCGGAGCAGACTGTCAGCTGCCTTTCAGTGGGCAGCGGCAGATTCAAATGGCAAAAGCCGGGGAGGAATTTCAATCAGATGAAATTGACATAACTGAATCGGAGGTGTGTAGGCCTAATTATCCTGAAAGGATCCGGAGAGACGGCTAGATGAATGGAGTCTCCGCTTTCGGGGGGGAGAGTTGGTGTTTTATCACAAAAGCACCAAAAAAAAATAAACTGCCTGCAAGAAAAGAAGTGAGAAGCTTTCAGTCTTTATAGAGCGACTGTTTCCATCTGCTGTGTCTCCATTTAAATGCTGTTGGTGGAAGTGTGGACTTTAAATCGAGTCGGTTCAGCTTGTTTTCTTAAAAACGTCTCGGCCTTGTTTTCATGTCCCTGAAGGACCAGGATGTAGGAAAACATGGAGACACCTTCAGCCTTTCAGGTGGTTTCATAGACGCAGCCTGGAAATAAAACATGTTTTCACATTTTGTTTTCTGAAAATGTAATGACACGTTTTAGTATTTTGTACACCTGCTGCTCAAAACCTACTCATGTTGAAGACATCGACATGATCGCCCAGAAGTTTAGAGGACATTTAACTTTGTTTTTTAATGATGTGCTGCAGTGAATCAGAGAGATTTTACTCTCTGAGAGACTTTCTCAAGTTGTCAGAGTTTGTGACCAAATTTATATGCAAATCCAGCAGCATCACCAACTGAACAATAGAGTTTAGTCTCTAAGTTTGGGTAAAAAACCCAAAGAAAAGTCAGCATTTGTTTAGGTTTTGGTTCAAAAGCAAATAAACAATGGTTGTAAATGATTAGTTGTGCATTAATGCCACAGTAATGACTTTGTGATTGATCCAGTTATTGGCTCCCATACTGTTATTGATTTGTGTTTTAGCAGTTTACCGTCATGTTATCTCCTCTGCTGCTCCAGTTTTACCGTCATCTTGTCTGACCCCTGCTGGCTCCAGAGCAACAACTTATGCATCGATTAAAAACCTCGGTTAATCTTTACATCTAGAAGCTGAAGAGAGCAGGCATGTTTGGCCAAATGTGACATTGCAGCATTCATCTGGGTGGGCCCAGCTCTGAATGCTAATGAGCTTTAATAAACACATTAAACAGAAAGAAAGCAAGCGGAGCGGAGTGTGTGCCTCTGCGGTCACCTTTACTGTCCCTCCTGGTCCCTCAGGCTCGCCTGCAGTTAGCTTAGCTGGCACAGCTCTGATCCCAGCAGGCGTTTTTATTCCCGAATAAAACGCCGGGGTTATGAGTGGCCGTGTGGTCAGCGCGTCCTTCACAGACCCTCCAGGCCTGCCCAACGACATGCAGGAAAGATTTCTGCTCAGTCTGATGAACGGATATATGGCAAGCTGCTGGTGCCAAATGTCATTTTTTTCTTTGTCTGTTGATTGGTGGAAAACGTTCAGATAGACCTGAGGGAAAGTGGTTTTGTTCCTTTTGATCACTTATTTTTAATGATTATTTTTCCTCTAAAATATGATTTTAATGCAGTTTTGCAAATAGCTTTAATTTGTTGGATAGAACAAAGTAAAATGCAAATATTTATACTTTAAAGTATCATTTACAAGCATAGTGTGCAAAATGAATACATTAAAGCTATTCCTATTCATGCATTTAAAAGCAAAAAAAGCTTTCAGAATTTAAAATTTGATGAAATTAAATTAAAAAAACAGACAGAAATAAACCTCAGGTCATCCATAAGAGCAAAACCACCCGTCGATCTCCTGCTCCGTTTTTCCCTCATTCATGAACAAGACCCTGACATACTGCAGCTCCTCCACTGGGGCAGGATCTCGTCCTCTGTGGACATTTCCTTAAAAATGCTCACAGAGGGAAAACCAGGAAGTGATTGATCAGCGTGCTGAGAGGAGTTTAACTGCCTGTGTGTCTCCCGGCTTCCTCTGGGATGGAGCCGCTCGTTTCCAGTAGTTAGCTCAGCTGAGTTATTTCCCTCTGAAGTCATAAATCAGTTTGAGAAATAACATCAAGCTTCAACCAACTCATCTGTGTTCCAGCTGGAAAACCACTGGGGATTGATCATTGTTGTACTTAATGACAAGGCTAACTGTAATTAGCACAAGCTAATGCTACATTCAATGTACTGAAAGACTGTAAACTTGGAAAAGTTCAGCAGCAGTCTGTGTCTGAATTAATTAATGGGGACCTGTTATGCTCCCTTAAGACATTATGATTGGTCTATAGGCTACCAAACAAGTTCATCACATTTTCTGCACAAAATTATTCATAGATAATGAGATTTAGTCTCCCATTTTCAGCTGCTTTAGGACTCTGTCACTTTAAATCCACATAATCTACTGCTGGCCACGCCCCTCCAACCCACTCACAAACTCACAAACAAATCCACAATTATACAAGTATGCATCTTTGAAAAGCAGAAGTGGAGCCTCCTGCAAAACCAGCAAGACTCTAGGAAGTGGTTTGTGGATGGTAAATCAACAACAAAGCACTTGTCTTTTCCAGCAGTCATTGTACAACATATACATCAGTAAGACCAACTAGAGCATTTCTGAGGTTGCTAGGTAACAGGCTGGGCTTTGCTGAGGTTGCTAGGTGATTTGTGATGTCACATTCTGGAGGTTTTTGAAATGGCTCATTTTCCAGACACCAAAAAACATCAACTGGAAAACACCTGGATGTTTTTGAAGCAGCAGAAACACAATAGGAAAATGTGAATTTAGCATAATAGATCCCTTTAAATCAAACTGAATGAGGTTCAAATAAAAAGTTTTTACTGCAGTTTTTCTCCACATCAGGCAGCCGTGCTGCAGTTTGAAGTTCAGGAATCCAATTTCCAGGCTCAAACTGAACACATTATTCCAGAATGCTGCTTAGTTGATGGATTTTAGCCCTGCAGATTGGTGTAAGAAAGCTTTCTGTGTTAACTCGGTTCGACTTGTTTCTTCTCTTCCTCTCCATCTCTCCTCGCTCCGCCAGACTTCACAGGAGTTTCTGGGAGCCTTGATGTCTCGTCTTGGGGGGAAGAACCCCGAGGAGACGGGCGGCTTCCAGGAGGCGCCCCTCGCCTTCGACGCGGTGTGGGCCCTGGCGCTGGCCCTCAACAAGACCGTGGCCCCCCTGAAGGCCAAGGGCCGGCGGCTGGAGGACTTCAACTACAACAACCACGACATCACCTCGGAGATCTACAGAGCGCTCAACACCAGCTCCTTTGAAGGGGTTTCGGTGAGTGCAGGAGGTCAACAAAACGGGAAATAAAGTTTCCGTGTGAGTCGGACTCTAACCGTTATGAGACGAACTTTTCGGAGCGGTCCGTCTCTGCAGATGTTCTGGATCCACCGACATCCAAAAGCACCTCACTACTTCTGAGTGACGTCTCCACTGAACTGGTGTAATCAGAATAATTAGGCAAATTATTCTGACATTAATCTTTGTAGGGAATCGGCCCCCGCAGAAATCCTGTCTGTGAACGTTAGGACAGAAATGTTTTTATTTTTTATTGTTGAAAAGAGAGATTTGCTGCAGAGTGACACTGGGAGGAACATTTCAGAGCCTTTCTGGTTTCCAGGAGAGTTTGAGCAGCTAACGATTGTTTTAGTAATTAATTGATTAATAAATAATTACATTCTCTAGATTTATTATTAAACCACATAAACCTTTAAAATATGCAAATGAGAAATTCAGATTTTTTTGTTAAATTAGAAAAACATTTTCTTGCATTAAAAACATCATCAGCGTTTCTACAGTGAATCTGAACCAGGAGAAGCTAAAACTGTCCAAGTGAAGGAGACCTGAGGAAAACATTTACAGACAACGGTTTTTATCTTCAATTCAAAGTGTTTATATATTTTGTACAGTTTCTGAATGTTTGTTTTTTTTAAGCTAATTCCCTTTTTTGAGTTTGTGTTCTCCAGCTAACAATTAATCGATTACTAGACTACGTTACTATTATCTAAATAAATACTGACAGTCTTTTTGAACAGCATTCAGTGGACTGAAAGCCCAGCTTCATTTTGAACTTTTTCTCATCATGATTTGAGGAAAAGTTTGGGCTTGTGAAACGGATCTGATCGGGGCGTCCGCTCTCAGGCTGGTTCATTGACGGCTCTGTGGCATCGCATCAATATTTGCTCATCCTACAAAAGCTCCATGATCGATTCCCAGTGTGGCATTTACATTTGGCAGCTCATGTTGTGAACCTGAAAGGAGTCAATTGAGCGCAGCGATTTCAACAGCCCCTCTTGTTGGCTGTGAACTCAAACAAAACCACTGGAAACATGCAGGCGTCCTTCAAAACGTCGCCTGGATCAGGTTCGGCCGTTGGATGAATTTATTGACCCTGGACTGAGCCGTTCAGCAGTTATGTTTTATTTTTTGCCTATAAGTTATTCTCTTAATAACAGTAATAGCAATGCTTGATTGGAGCCACAAGAAAATGGACAAAATAACTACTGCCGTTCTTAATGGTGAACACAAACTCCTTCCAGCTGAAAGCAAAGTTTTATTTTCCAGACTGACTCCAAGTGCAGCAGCCATTTTTTCCAAACTTGGTGCAAAAAGCCAGAAAGTTCAGAAAATACATTTATTAAATAATAACCTTGAGGCAGACAGACTGGATTTTCCCCAGTTTCATCATGATTTTATAGGTTTGAGTACGAAACAACAAATACAAAATTAAACAAAACTAAAATAAAAAAATCTCCAGTGAACATGTTTGCTTTGCATTTAAAAAATAAATACATAAAAACCTCATTTGCAGTCTTAAGTCTTTGTGAGCAATTTGGCACATTAAATACAATAAACACAATAAATATGTAATGGAAACATCAGAAAAAAGGAAAACAGACTTTAAAATGAACACCCACATTTTTTCCACGACAGGCTAAATAAACCAAATTGTTGCCATTAATGGCACCCCATAGTTTACCTCTTCGTCCTGTTTGAAGACAAAGTAATCCCAAATAGGTGACTTTGTAATTTTTGGCGACTTATTCCCACATTTTTGGAGTTTTTGTTCTAAATTGACAAATCAGTCCGTCCATGTCAAAACGTCTCCTGTGTGAATATGTCGTCCATCGCCATTGATTGGATTATTGATTATTGATTATCTCTGCAGGGACTTTAACTAATTGAGTTATTAAAATGTAGATGCTAATCAATGCCATGTTTTTCTGATTTTAGTCTGTCCAGCGGTGCAGCATAAAGGATGAGGGACACACACACACGCACCATTAGAGCAGATGGTGTGTGTGTGTGTGTGTGTGTGTGTGTGTGTGTGTGTGTGTGTGTGTGTGTGTGTTTTCTAACCCAGTTCTGTCCTCTCCAGGGTCACGTGGTGTTTGACGCTCAGGGTTCCAGGATGGCAATGACCCTCATCGAACAACTGCAAGGTAAACCCACAGCAGACTCAGAGAGGCAGTGCTGCTGCTGCTACTGCTGCTGCTGCTGCTGCTGCTGCTGCTGCGGCTGCTGCAGCAGCTACTGCTGCTACTGATGCTGCTGCTGCTGCTGCTGCTGCTGCTGCTGCTGCTGCTGCTGCTGATGCTGCTGCTGCTGCTGCTGCTGCTGCTGCTGCTGCTGCAGCAGCTGCTGCTGCTGCTGCTGCTGCTACTGCTGCTGCTGCTGCTGCAGCTGCTGCTGCTGCTGCTGCTGCTACTGCTGCTGCTGCTGCTGCTGCTGCTGCTGCTGCTACTGCTACTGCTGCTGCAGCAGCTACTGCTGCTGCTGCTGCTGCAGCTGCTGCTGCTGCTGCTGCAGCTGCTGCTGCTGCAGCAGCTGGCTGCAGTCTTAACGCTGTAGCGGCGCATGCTAACAGACTTAATGCAGGAATGTGGTGACTCAGGCCTTCGCTCTAATTGGCCAAAAGCCTCTCGGTTTTAAGCTGTTTCTGGAAATGGCATCCTATTTGTCACCAGTGACTTAATGAGTTTCCCAGCTCCAGATAAGGTGGGGGATTATTCTCCACCTCTGTTCTCATTGGCGTCCTAACGGATAAAAATTTCTAATCCAGCCCCCTTGTCTCCATGACGCTGCGTCTCTCGCTTCCTGCCGTGGCGTTGAGGTAATTTGACATCCAGGATGAGGCGACCTGACTGGAATGCCTGATCCCACCCGCAGCTCATCAGCATTCCCGGTTCCCCTCTCCCCTTTTCTCCTTCTCTCCCCTTGTTCCTCCCCATGCTGCTTTTCATCCATCATTTACTTTAGCTATTTATCTCATTTCTTCTGCTCTCGTGGGCTGCACTGACAGAAATACCTGCGCTATAAATACATGTTTACTCGCTCTGTGACAGAAGGAATTACACATAATTAGCTCCTGTTGTTCCTCTTGATGTTGCAGGAGGAAGTTATAAGAAGATTGGTTACTATGACAGCTCCCAGATGAACCTGAGCTGGTTCAACAACGACGTCTGGATCGGTGAGACATCCGACCGTCTGCCATCCATCCATCCATCCATCCATCCATCCATCCATCCATCCATCCATCCATCCATCCATCCATCCATCCATCCATCCAGATTGAAAGCTGTTTTCTCATCTTTCATCCCGTATTTGAACATGATCTCAGCGTCTCATTACTCTGATAATTCCCCCATCTGAACAGGAAGTCCCATATTGCACTTATGTATCAGATTTAACTCACATGTTCTGGTAAACAACATCTTTCTGAGCAACGGTTGCCTGGAATCTACACAATCATTTCAGAATATTACAACTCCGATGTCTTTTTCCAAATCTTTCAAGTCTGGAACAATTTGCCTCTAAAACTCTCCATTGCAACTACATAAAAAGCCATTCAATACAGGCATTGCATCATGTTTGAAAATGGTTTTCGAGTCATATTGCAGCAGGCGGATAGTTAATCGCACTGGGGCAGAGGAGAGTTCCATCAACGCATTTGTGTCAAATCTGATGCACATTAAGTGCAATTGGCTGTAGTTATGTTTTTCAGATGAAGGGCTGTTATTGGCAGCGTTCGCTCGCTGTCAGTCTTTAAGCTGCCACTGCTTTCCCCCGTATGAAACTTTCTGAACAGGTGATGCTGTGTTCTCTGAACGGTTTGGGTAAATGCATCCCTCCGCTCATCAAGTGGATGTTCAAGTGGTTGTGATTTTCTGTAATTCCTGCAGCTATCAAATGGAACAGAGAAGAAAAGCAGGTTTGAGGTTAAATACTGCAATAAAAAAAGGATTTTTACTTATCCTAATGACCAGCAGAGATAACCAACGCACTTTTTTTAATAAGCAGGAAACGTTTTAATGAGCTAAACGTCTCTGCCTGACACCTCACAGGCTAACTGGACCAGAACTTGTGCAGCTCAGACCACACCAAGCGTAGCGTTGGCTGGAAGTCTGCAGCCTGTCTCCTACTTCACCGTGAAAACCCGTTAATGTCGATTTACCTCCAACACCACGGCCGGCGCTGCGCCTGTTTACTGGCCCGGCTGCTCCCTGCAGAGGTGACACACTTGTCTACGGATGGAGCGTGTCACTGATCAATCCTTCGTGTCCCAGTGAAAGCTGCCCTGTTTTAGGCTTTTAAGGAAACGGATGCCTGCCAAGGCTTAACCGAGTCCTGAAGAAGCTCGGATTCCAGGTCGGCATCCGTGGTGAAGCATGGTTGACCCGTAAACATGTCCGGCTCTTTGCGTTGCCTTGTTGCTACCAGTAGCCTCTATTGTGTGAGAAGGAGCTGAGTTTGCCTCTAAAGGGTCAGATGTGAGTTTCATTTGCGATACAAAACATATTTAATTGCCTCCTTTGAGAAATTGCCCTCCCTTTCTGCAGCCTGATTTTGTTTTTGACTGTTCACCAAATAAAGGCGCCTTCATGTGACATCTTTTTGTTGGGGGGAAGTGAGTAATTTCCTGCTCTTTGGGGCTGACTCCGTTCAGAGAAGTCTTCTTCTGGAAGAGCGGAGGAAGGGGAGGTGGGGGCTGAGAGCTTGAATTGCTCCATGCTGACAGGGTGGAGTAAACACAGCGGTTCTCCATTTAACCCCTCCAATCATTTCACTGAGGGCTTACCAGCCCCCTGCCCCCCCACACCACCAGCCTGCACCACGCGGCACTTTCTCACTCGCTGCTCAGTCGCCCTAACAACCGCTTCAGCTCAGCTTTTCTTCTAATCGCTGTGGCAACTGTTTCAGAGCAGGGTCTCCATGGCAACACCCTGTCCCGATTCTTTCATCAAGGACGGAGGAGGGTATCAGTGCTGCAAACACAATAAGTGAATGGACAGTTGACATGCACACACACTCAGGAATACTCCGGCTTCCTGTTCATTCATTCACTCACATTTATAACCTTAAGCTTCCCATTAAATATTTAATATGGTAGCATAACAGGCCTATTTGTGTAGCTATTCACCAGAGTGAAAGACGACTCTTAATTGGGTCCATGTATGAAAACCTTAAAACAGAGGGAAAATGTAAGATTTAAAGGAAAATATTGCTCAGACACCTTGACTGAGATCCAAGTCCATCTCTGATTAATTCACTGTAATCTAACTCCAGTCTGTTTATGTAGAAACTCTGCTTCGTTTGTGAAGGTGTGAACTCTGGTCTGTCTACAAACAAACTCTGGGTCGGTTTGAATTCGTATGCGAACGCCAAGAAGTTTGGAAACTGCTCCAAACGCAGGAAGTGGACTGCAGCACAGGGCATTCTGGGGAAATGGAACCAAAACAAACACCCTCAGCTAGCACTAGCAGGAGAAATGTCTTGCTGTCTTTAACCAAAGACAAAAGAGAAATGCTACCAGCGCTAAGATCTGACTCCATTTTTGTCGTTTGCTTCAGTGTTTCTTGGTGCAGCGCCCCCACAGGCGAGGAGGGGAACAGGCTTTTCAAAGGGTTTGGTTGGTTTGACAGTAAAGTGTGAAAGAGAACTGCAGCAAGTGAAAAGTGTTGGAACTTCATGTTGTAAATTACCTGGCCTAAATTATAGTCAGGTGTTTCCTATTGAAACTGTACTGGACGAGCTGCCGGCTTCGTTTCTGGAACCTACTGAATGGAAGCAAAAGAAAAGCTCAACTCAACTGTTGAGTCGTTTCATTTCCGATAAATGCCACCAACTCCAAAATGGTAGCGTTTTTTTGAGAATCCTGAAACGTTTAGGCTTCCCTGCTAGACAAAATGCTAGCTTGGCTAGCATTAGCATCCCAAGCCAGGCACTAAATGGACTCAAACAACTAAACTGACGTTTGAATCTTAGTTGTTAAATAATTTCAGTCATGATAAATTATGATTGTGAAACAGTTTAAAATGAGGTGGTGACTCATTGGTCAGACGCGCTGCTAGCTGCGTTGTGTTGTAGCGCTCTGTGATTGGCAGCTCATTAAATGTGACCAGAGGTTTACTTTGAATCCCAGTCACTGAACCAGCTGAGCCTAAATTAGGCATGCACCGCTTCTACCACCTCACAAGGAAATTATTCTGTCATTTTCTTCTTGACATTGCAAATATTTTCAACACTAAACTTTTCCTGAGAAGCAAAGATAAATGTGATTTTTGCCAGGCTTTCCTGACCACATCCTGCCATGACTGGCTGAATTACACAGTAACAGGGGAGAAACTAACGGATCTCATTTAAAGAAAGCATCGGATATGTTTTCAGTAAAAACATTCAGAAACCATTTCCTTTGGGTCTGAGTTGTGAAACTTGGCTGTTGTAAGACCAGAGTGTCGAGCCGCAGCTGACGCTTCAGTCCACCCGCTGGTCTGTCAGCCTCACTGTTCTGTTGACCAGATGAGCCAAAGGCTAATCCAGAGTTTTGCTGAGTTAGATTGGAGTTGGCACCGAGGTCGAATGAGCCTTGTCATTTCACATCGCTCGGCTGTCTGTTAGCAGTGCAGGCCGGATCTGTAGCTGGTATGAATTTAGCCTCCACAGGCTTCTCAGTCGACTCGACTCTGACACTTTTACTGCACTGCATGCTTTTTAAAGAACTCCAGGACTGTGTCATGTCGGCTATCTTCAGGCAAGCTGTTCTCTCTAATATATTCATCATTGTTGGTTCTGGCTCCATATTTAGTTGTCTGTTTTGACTTCGATGTAAAGGTGAAGCATCTTATTCAGTAACACCCTTTGAGGTAAATGTTGGATTATGATTAACATCACACTCCTCTCAGTTCTTACATGAAGAGTAAGAATTATGGGTCAATGCACAATTGTGCAGCTTGTTATTACTGCAGGCTGGATTTCTGCTGAAATGCTCTACAAAGATGGACACAGAGCTGCAAACAAAAAAGGATTTTGATGAAAACAAGACTTCAGAAGTCTTGGAAAGTCGTTAAGAACCTAGAAGGAATTTAAAAGCCTCTAATATTTTCCTCTTGTCTGTCATAAAGCCTGATGTTTGTTTGAAACGGGTTTGTTGCGGCATTCTGTAGGGAAACACTAAAAAGCTGAGATCAAAATGTTCCTGCACAGTAAACAAACTGATTGGTGCTCCGCCAGGTGGCTGTGAAAATGAAAGTGACGAGTGACAAACCAGCGAAACAAAAAATAACCAAACCGTTTAGCAGCGAATTCAGATCCAGATATTACATAAATTAAATACATTTCTTCACAAAACTGAATCAATATCTTAATATTGCTACTCAGGATTTTAAATTTTGTGTAATATTTATTGTTTTGTTTGCTGCTGGCATTGTTTACAGACGTAGAGTTCGGCAGTCAGGTGAAACGAGACTTCATGACACTAAGATGGTACAATATTTCTTGTTGAAACGACGTTACCTTTATCACTTTGTCAGGGGAAATATTGTCGTTATTATTATGGACAATAATAATAAGTAGCTGTTTTAAGATGGAGACCCAGCATCTATTCTGGACTCTTGTTTTGAAGTATGACAGGAAATGGTTCCTGGTTTGCTCACTGATGTGGACGAACAAAACGCTGCTCTGTGTTTTCGTACTGACTGCTGATCAGCTCCAGTTTAAAACATGAAACAGAAAAGGAAACACTTTTTAGCATTTGGACAAACAAGCGTTTTAGATGCTTTTCATGTTGGACACATCTTCCCATGAAATTAATTTCTTTGTGTTCATTATTGTTATCAAGGTGTTGCCATATGAATTCATTCCTAGTCGTTTAGTTTCTTGTATTTTGTTCTTTGTGTATTCGATCATTATCAGACATTGAGGATCCGAGTCGGTTCGGTTCCTCTGTGTTAATTCGTCTCCCCCCCTCAGCTGCTCCACTCCACCTGGAATCAATTCATCTGCTGCTTTTGTCACATTTCATCACTACCTCAGTATTTAAGCTCCTGGTTTTTCATGGCTCATTGTGAGATTCTTTCTTTTCTTTGCTCATCTTCCTCTTTACTTTGTGGAGACCCTGCAACTCTCTTTTTCTTAAACCTTTGAAATGCCTTTTTCTAGTGGCTCTTTGCTTTGACCCAAACAAAATATTAC